GTTAGATGCTAAATTGGAGAATTAGGAGGGAACGTGTTCTGAGGAATCACCAAGACTACATGACCCATTATGATGACTGGATTATGAGGAGATGCAACTTCTAAAAGCATTGGATCTATGTGCTGGATTGGGTCCAGTCCCCTGTTTCTCACAGGTGTTCACCAAAATATCAGTGTGCATATAAAGAAAAAGTAGCTGGTTCAAAATAAACACAATTTAATATAACTAACAAATACATTTGTGGTACATGTAGAGTTCAAATGCATTCATGAGTTAAAGGTATAAATAATGCTAAATATGGCTTTATGCTGCACTTTGTTTATTAAAGATCCAAAATAATCCACAAAGGTTAGGAAACATTGAAATATATAAGATTTTGCTCAAATGCGACCATTTTTGCCCATATTGAATCTTAGACCGCTTCCATGTACCTCAAATTGTAGCACCAGGTCCTTTTCATTAATCTTTTCACTAGGTCAACGATAAAAACGCTATCAAGGATAGGGAAGTATGGAAGAAAAACTCTGCACTAATTGAAATCTGCCTTTTTTTTAACCGAAGATGAATTTTTTGCAGCTGAATTTCTTTGCAGCTGGATTTTTTTCTGGTGAATTTTTACCAGATAAAAATTGAGTGTAAGGAATTCAATGACTAAAAAATTTCAGTGTTTAAAATTCGGTGTTGAAAAAAAAAAGGCAGATTCCAATGAGACAGTTTTTCTTAAATAGGGAAGGAGCTCTGGATCACTGTGCTGAACCTGGTCAGCCTTCTGGTTTACAGACGTCGTTACAAAACAAACACACTTAAAGACAATTGAGCATGATTAATGATAATCATCAAATTAAGACTAGCCTTCTAGAAAAGAACAAAAATAGAGGTTGCACAAAAGGGTGAAAGTCTCAATTATAAAACCCTAAAAATACGAAGGTGTTGACATTTGCATGATTCACACAGAGTACATCAGAAGAAATAATGTATTTGAGGTTAATTTCATAAAGGGGATTTTGTCGCTGCATCCTACCAACTGTTTAGTTCCTAGTGGCAGCTTGGAACATACTGCTTCCTATTTAATAGAAAAAACCCTTTATTGTCCCACAATGGAGAAATTGTGGTGATATGTATATGTTGATATGCTAATATGTATGTGCGTGCTGCTTACCCAAATGTTCCGCTTTTTACCGGTATGAATCTAAAGCCACTTTAGGAACAAAATATTTTAATGAAACCCATTTGTAAGGGGTATGCAAATGATCAGAAACCGTAACTTTCCCTATGAAGGGTTAACTTGAGGCAAAAATGTCAGTCTTCTGTATGGTTGCCATGGTAACCATGAAATAACAATGATCAGCATTTACGGCTGAATTCAGGTGTGTAGAGGGCCGAACATGAGCCTTGACAAAAACTTTGAGATAGAGGTGATACTTATAAAAACCAATTGCTTGGTTTCATGTGTGAGCATTATTGGTTTTTAATGAAGATTTTATTTTTAGGCGTATTTTATTTTGGGGTGTTTGGTGTGCATAAACTTATAATGGATCCTGAACTATGGTTTATTTATGGGAACCCAGAAGTTTTTTCAATTTTTAATTTATGCTTCCATATTTGTGCTACATAAACAGTTTGTTTTTCTTTTTTTTTCCATTTTTGTCTTTGCAGATGGGTGAAGTGTGGAATGAGCTGCAACCAAGGCTCGGATGTCTCTTTGGCAGTAAAAACGGACTAAAAACTCCAATCTGAAACCCGTAGAAGAGAAACACTCCAACAGATGAAGATCAACAACTGGAAAATAAAAAGCTCTGTGAGCTTATGCCTACGAAAGCCTATAACATGGCTTAGATTCCATCCAATAATATTATTATTTAAAATATAAATCCGGATATTATCTACAGTCATTAACTTCTTGTGTTAATTTCTGCTCTGGAATATTGCTCTTATTTCAGGATGAAGTATTTTTCTTTTTCTTTTACAATTTTAAGCACAGAAACAAAAAGCTAAAGGTTGTTATTCTATAAGGGATACAAGCTGGATAAAAAACTGGCGTATATTCAGACACATATTTTTAAGTAAATAGTTTATGGCTTTTTAAGTTAAACACACTAAAATACTGACATTGAGTCTTTCTGGATGTTTTTATTCAGTCATTTTCATGCATATTTCTGAAAAGCTTTATCACTAGAGATTTTATGTTTCTAAGTATAGTTTATATGTTTGACAATTCTGTGACCTTTTGGATATGTTGACAAATATTTTGAGACTTTTGATTTGTTTTCTATAAAATATGTTTTGAAAGCTTTACATATTTTTAAATTGCTAAAGTAATAAAGGGGACTCCCAATAAACGAAGAGCTGACTTGATATAACTCGTCAATTTTTACATTAAATATTTTGGAAGATTGCAGAAGGTCTTAAAACAAAACTGACCACGAAAAAAAGTTTATTTTTAATTTCAAAAGGTTAATTCTTTCTCATTGGGAAAAGGATGCATGTCCGCCACAGGGAGGTCTCAGCCCATCAGGGAGCAACAACACAGTAATGCTTGCAAACACAACTATGTGTAGTTTAGATTACCTAACAGTTATGTTTTTGGGACAGTGGGTGGTACTGTAGCTGGAGTAATGGGAAGAACCCACACATCCCCATGGAGATTTGGGAATGTGTGTTCTTAAAAGATTCCAAGGGTGCTAAATTACACCTGGAACTTTCTTTTATTTTTTTTTTTGCACATGCAATAAGTGGCCGTGTTTCTGGCAAAGACGTCTGTATTGCCCCATTACAATTAGTGGTTGCTTGTGATACTGGCAGTTGATTTGTCAAAGAAAGATGAGGTTCTAAGCCATGAAGTTGATGGAAATAAGGAAAACATATGTTTAAATAATAATAGGTAGTATTATAAAAATTTAAGTGCATTTAAAATTGGTAGCCCATCTAGAACAAAAACAACTAGTTAAATAAGGAAAATCAAATCATCATTCATAAAACATAAGGAACTTGCCTTTTTTTTGCTGACGTGCTCCCCCAACAGAAGCCAAGACCGCTCGTACCCGACTTTTTTTTCTCTTTTTTTTTTCCTTTTCGAGCTAACGACACAACTATCTCATTAATTGTTTTGTTGAGATAAGATAATTATCTTGTTATCACGAGGAGATACTTATTGATTTCTTAAGAAAACAAGATAATTAACCGGTTTGAGTAACGAATGAGGCTGGCCTACAGCCCTGGATTCCCAGTCCATCCATGCCTGCGGTATCCGTAGTTGTGCAGTCGCGGTGCCGCGTATGGGCAAATAATCAGCTTTTTAGATTCCTTTTTCTTTTCACTAATTGTCAGGTCATGGTAGGTGATTGGATTGCATGAAGTATAGTAGAAACAAATAGGACTTTTTGTTAAAATAAAAAATCTTTAGTCTGAACTTATTTTGGGGGTTAATGCACCTGTTATCCCAGAGGCATAGGCCTAATTGCTTAAGAACAACGTCGTCTTGATACCTAAAAGTTAAACACAGGGTTATTTACAGAATTACACATAGGCTGCCATGACTTATACTTATAAATCCTCTCCCGCTGTTGAGGTTTCTAAGGATGTAATTAGTTTTAACACACACCAATGATCTCGTTATTGCGAGAAAACAACTTTCTAATGAGAAAATTATCATCTAATTATCACGAGAAAACTGCTTCGCTATGTCTAGAACAGCTGGATTTATCTCCAACTCCATAACACGGGCTACAGGCTAGATACTGCAAAACAAGGCAGGCCAGTAATTTAACATAACTGTGCTTTGTGCAGGGCTGGTTAGCAAAGTAGGGGAAAAAAGCAACTCTTGGCATGAGTAAGAGATGGCACTTTAACCCCCCTCCCCTTATTTTTATAATACAAATGGCACAATTTTTAAGAAAACTAATTTCCATTTTGCTTAAATTGTATACATATTGTTTGCCATCCCACTGTACTTATTTGTGCTGTCCTATGTAGAAATATTTTCACTATTATACTACTATTGTTAGTTCTGACATTCCAAATGTTACCATGCCCACAGAATATCTATCGTCTATTATTGTAAAAATGCCTCTTTTGTGGTAACCCTGACTGCAGACATTTTTGCCTGAGTTTGCACTTTTCTTTCAAAGGTGCTAAAAAAGACCCAAAAGCTGCAGGTGCAGTTGAGTTTCAGCTTTGAAAAGTAGCATTGTGCATTGGAAAAGTTTAAATTTGCACATCTTTACCCATCACTGTGTGCACTTTGACCGTTAGAATATGATCTGCATATTAATCATCTTTGAAGATCTGCTCTGTGCCTACAGACATATTTGCACGTGCAAACCTCCTGACAGGCCCTTAATGTAGAAAAAAAGAGGCAGGGATTTGAACCTTACACGATGTCAAGGCTTCATCTTTGAGAATAATTTATTTTGCATTAATTGAGGAAAAAAATAATGATGAGAACACAGAACATTGCAGATTTGGTGCAGGACGTACCTCTCAATGCGACTTAAAAGGGAGCATTTTGGAGGTTTTTTTGTTTAAAATCTGATCAAAGCAGTCACAGAACATTCAGGAAAGGTTCGCAAACTTTCAAACCACAAAAAAAAAAACAAAAAAAAACTTGGCTTTCTGTGTTAACTGTGTTATAAGCTTCTGAAGCGGACTGTCCTTAAACTTTGACATTGTAGATCAGACACACTTTAATTTTACTGACTAAGCAATAGTACTGACAGTGTCGCTCTACAAAAGCACAATTTGCTGCTTATTGACAAGATAATACAGAAAACAGCAAATCACCATCTTCTGACAGGTCATCAACTTTATTTTATTTTTTTTTACCTTGCCTTTAATCTAAAATCTGATAAAAAAAACTTTGGCTACATGTATTATATATAGACATTTAGATTTGATAAAGCTTTATTTTGTACTAAATAAACTTGCAACATTCTGCTGCTTTGGTTCACTTGGTGATTCCTCTGAATAAAAAAAACACAAAAACATTTATAAAACGAAAAGGTTTATTTCTACTCGTGTTACAGTTGTAAAGTATATAAACTTTTCTCTTCACATCTCTCTTTAGGTCCAACGGATCCTCTCATTTCTTCTGCTAAATGAACCGTGAACATCAACAGTTCACATCTCCACTAATTATGGTCAAAATTTTAAGAAAAAAAATTTCTTGGGTCCCAAACAAATAATTGCTGCATGGTTGTTTTACATCACAGCTCTTGTACCTCTTCCAGCGTGTGGCTCAGAATTACGTCGTGACCCTGGAACTTAAAGTATCCCACGAATCTTTTTTTCTGTAGCATCAAGGGGAACCACAAGATATCATCGGCCCACATCTGATTGAATGGGATTTTGTCACTGTCAAACCACTGGGGCCTCATTTCTGCAAAACACAATATACGAGTTAAAAAGAAACAACAACATAAATAACGGCACCAAAATATGACTTATTTTTGTCTTCCAATGCTCATTTTGATCAGATAATAACTCAATACACAGTTATGTTGGGTGAGAAATAAAAAGTAGCAGTGATAGAAATAGCTGAGTATCAGGTGGGGCCCCGTTCATGAAAACAGGATTTTTAGTTGGTTGATCAGACTGACACAGATGCTGTTTAACACAACGCCAAGAAGGAAAGGTAACAAACCACTCTGAATAAATGCCACCAAAAGATCAATTAACTACTAAATATTAAAAGTGCGACCCCACTTGGGATAAGTGTGTAAGAAAATGGATTGATGGATATTAAAGGATGCACTTGTTTGGTTAGAAAGAGACCGATCAAATTTGGCTTGTATGCAAGGCATGTTGGGAAAAACAATTTTGAAGCTCTTAGGCTTTAAATTTAGACATGAATGAACCCCAAGACTTTTGGATCAATACATTTTGGGCAGATGACAATCAACTTAAAAATGCTTAGGCATGAATGATAATGTAAGGTTTAGCATAAAATATCGGTATAACTCCTCTTTAAAAATGTCAAGCGTGGTGGTGAAGGGGCAGATGATGTAGGCCTGGTATCTTGATGTCATAGAGAGGACCATAAGCTCCTCGTACTCTAGAGTCATATTTCTATTCATATTTAAATATCTTTTGAATGTTTTAATCTTCTTGATTTTTGTTAAATAAATGCACATAAAATGTTTTTCATATTTGACCAAACCTACAGTATTTTTCTCCCCTTTCCGTTTCTCATCTCTGACTTTTGTTACCCTCCAGAGGTTTTGCTTGAGGGTTATTTATGTCTGATTGTATCAGAGGTGGTGGTTTTCAGTTTATCGGTATGTTTAATCCTCACACAGTTGACCTCGATTTTTCTCTTAGAAAGCACACAGCCCTGTGTGTGAATTCTGCAAATTCCTCTTTCTACACTTCCCTTTGCTCTTAAAGGTGTATTGACATATTTTTGAAGCCTTTCCTCTAAAGGTAACCCTTAACATCTTTTTTTTCCTCTGCAGCGAAACATCTTTATTTCGACAGACGATCCTGTAAGGAACAGTAAACAGTGTGATGCTGTTATTACTATTTTTATAGGTTATTGAAAAAAATCTCCCTCCATATAGGCTGCTTACCTTCAGCTGTCTTTCAGTTCCTTCAAACATCTTTCTCAGGGTTCCTTACAATGTTTACTTTCTAACTACTTTTCAAACCACTTTCTTAACCCACCTATATAACACAGGGATCATGAACGTGCTGTAAACTGAAGGGATGAACATATACACCAAAAAAACTTTAAATAACACTTTTTTCTCTAATTTAAAACTTGAAGAATCCGGAGATGCTTGAAGTATTTACATCAATATAAATATGGCACACAAGAACGATGGAGGCTTATTGACCAAAAAAAAAAAAGAAAGAAAGAAACTGTGATTTAATTGCAATCAAGCCTAAAGTCTTTCGTATTAAAATTCAAAGTAGTCAAGTTTAGGAGGAACTAATACCAAAAAGACGTTCTTCTTTAGGGTTTTCAAGATGCTTTTCTTAGAAGGATATTTAAAATGTTGTTTCCCCTCGTTTTTGTATCACTTCTACTTTTATTAAGGATTAAAATACTTTGGTTTCTCAGGATATAAGGAACTTACCATCTGATTCTGTTGGTTCCCCGTTATAACTATCAGCTCTGAAGATGTGGACATCCATCAGCTCAGTTTCTCCAACAAACTCAAATTTGATGTTTCCAATTTTGTCAAGCATGTCCACAGTAAGGCCACTTTCTTCATGAAGTTCCCTACAAAGAAAGATAAAATTATTGTCTGACCTGAACTCCATACAGACACTATAACTGCTTTAATTATTTTCAAATCATAACACACTAGAACAGGGTTCCTCATTTCCGGCCCTCTAGGTCTGGCGTCCTGCACCTTTAAGACGTGTCCCTGCATCACATCCGACTTAAATTTTCAGGTCATTAACAGAACTGTGGAGAACTGCACTGCATGCTGAGGAAATTATTCAACCATTTGTAGTTTTCATGTGTGGAAGCAGAAAAACTAGGGCTGGGCAATATATTGAGATATTTAAATATATTGCATTTTTGTTTTCAAAATTGATATAAAATAAGTCTATACTGTTTATATGGAGGTAAGCACATGTTTACGAATACCAGCAGGTTCCTTTTCAGCCATTTCAGACATAATCTAATGTTCATCTACAGCTGTTTGTTAGAAAATGTTCAATTTATGTGATATTCAGCACAAAGCTTCATAGTCTGGCCAGCCAGGCTGATTAGGCTGTGTATATAAGTCTGGAAAGGAGCGTTTAGAACCTTATTTCAAAGGTGGGACTAAAAGAATCAGCGGAATTCGTTTAGAACCAATCATATAACTACGTATGTGAAGCAAAGACATTTTTTTTTTCTAAAAAAAGAAAAGCTTTTACAGCTGCCAGTTGTTGAAATGTATACGATATAAACTGCCCTGAAGGGACAGAATAAAGGGCATGAATAAAGCATCACTCTGTTGCAGCTGCAGTCTTGACTGTTATTGTTACAGATGAAATGAATAGATATCCACGCTGTAACAGGTTTAATAACGGAGAGTATGGAGCTTAATTGACCAGGCTAATTCAGAGATGCATTTTAATAACTACTTCATGAAAGGAAAAAGCATATCAACATAAGTCTGCTTCTATTAAACGTTTGTGTAACTCTTTGGTTAATTTTACATAGATTTGCTGTTTATCATACCTTTTGGTGTTAACTTTTCTTCCCTACTTTAGTGATATTAATTAATCAAGCCTTTTCTAACATTCTACTGTACAAAATAAGTAATAAAAGCTGGTAAGATTTGTGCTAATATCCTATCCGGTCAATATCGGTATCATAACTATTAAACATGCTTAAAGGCAAAACAGGTCTCTCTGTTTGGAAACAGTTTTGAAGTGGGCCTGAATGGCTTCTAACTTTATTTTTAGAACAAACTATGTTGTCATGAATAATAGCTACTTCCTAGATAAAATATAAATGTAGTTTGTATAATTGGAATAAATCTTCACCAATCAGGAATTATACCTTTTGTTTTCTGTTACTCTGAACTCAACTCTCACTGCTACTGCTACTCTCACTAGCTTTGCTTCAAAGGGTAAATATATTAAAAAATTGATCCCTTTGTGCAAAACATTGTTTAGATATTCAAGCTGAGACCTAAATAACATTTCTTGATGTTAATATTTGAAAGTCTCTGTGCTTTTCATCAAGCAGTTGTAAACATCTGTCTACCTTGAGTCTGGTTTGTTTCTCCCCAATGTTTTCCCACTTCCTAGAGTTACATTTTAAAATTAATAATCTGGTTTCCTGAGATAAACATTTATTTTACTGAATTTTTCTGAATCTGGCTAAACTTGACTCCTTATTGGATTATATATAAATGCTGATTGCTCTTATTGAAATGACGTAACTGGATGTACCTGGATTGGAAAGGGACCTTTATTCAAAGGGAATGAGAAGAAGTTATATGTTGGTAGTAAAAGAAATAAAGTAAAGTAGAATTATGCTTTGTAAAAAAAACTTATGAACCTAAACTAAATTATTAAGAAGAAACTAAGACCCCAGGCAGACCAGCTTAAAGCCATAAATAAAGCAACCTTGACTTTCTTAACACCTCAGCAAAGCCCCAGGCTGATCGCCTCCATGTGGAGCTGCACTGGCTCACTAATTCATGCAGGGGAGCCCAAAACAACACTAAAATCCTTACTTTTATTTGTTTACATGACATAAACATGTTTTCAGAAACATAGCTTCAAGTTTTCATTAAGTCTTACTATCTAAATACACAGAAATAAAATGCTCAAAAAATGCGGTAATAAATTTGTACATGAGTTTAAAGGTATAGTGGACTAGCCTGATAAACCAGACTAAATTTGAGATTAAATGTGTAATTTAGTCTGGCCCCGATGAATGAGACATCGGAAGATTGTTGATGAGAACAACCCGTTGCTTTTCAAACCATGTCTGACCAATGAGAGCAACTGACTGTGACTGAGTAAGCGTGACAGGAAGGTGGTGGGGGAGTGTAAACAAACAGCCTGTCGGTAAAACGGCGAATATGTCCTTCTTAAAAATGAATGAGCGTAGAGCCTCTTTCTGCTCACGTTTCAATGAAAACCCCAAGTCTAATCCTTCCAGAACTGATTCCAAAGCTGAGTCAAAAATCGCCATCAGAGCCAGCGGTCCTTCACACTATGCCGAGATAGGGTTGCTGCAGATGGGCTGCGGTTAGCCCTGGCTGCCTGGCTCCGCTGGTTGCCGCGGATCTCTCAATTTCGGAATTTTTTTTTTTTAAATTACGAATTAAATCGGTAAATGGACTATATATTGACGCTTTAAAGTATAATATTCTCGATTCAAATGATCTTAAAATGTACTTTTATTGAACAACAGCAACAGAAAAGAGAACTTTTAATTTTCAACGGAGCGCTCCATTGAAAGCTGCTGCTGCCGTAGTGCATTCTAGCATTGTGCTTTCTCCGGCGTCGCGCAGCTTTGTCGTCACGCCCTCCAAACCCCGCCCCCGTTTTGCATCCAGACATTCAAAACACATCTCTGCGTTGTGATTGGCCCGCTAGTTCTAGGGTCTGGGGCATTGATCGGTGCTAGATCAAACTCGCAGGCAAAAATTATTTTGGCAGCTGGTGGGTGGGGCTAGTTTAGTAGGCTAAAAGTGGAGGATGTTCTTTTTCCAGGTGGATCATCAAAATAAGTGGTCCTCCTAATTGTCACTCATTCTGCTGACATGTTTAGGTAAGGCCTTCTTACATGCTCCTCCCAATTTTCTCTTACTGGTGGTGAGTCTAACAAGCTTGTATGAGCGAAGCAAACAGCAACTTTTAAACAGAGCTTGCACAAGGAGAAATGGGCTCGTGCTCTCGCAGGTGTTTAGTAGGCGTTCCCTCTCGGGAGCGGGTACAGGGTTGTGCATGTACATTTTTTTTAAAGTGGAGAGGGCGGGTCTTTTAAAAAATTCGAGAAAATCCTCCACTATACCTTTAAGTTTAGGAATTTAATTAGTTACTGAACAAGAGCCATATATATTTCCAGTAAAGCCCTAATTTAGTTGTTTTCTTCTCATATAAACAAAACTCACCTGCTTGAACAATTGAAGCCTCTGATAGATCCCTCAATCCCTTTAACCACAAATTAACTTTAAATTAATTATATCAATGTACCTTTTAGCGGCATCCTCAATCGTTTCTCCAGGCTGAACTTTGCCCCCGAACCCATTCCACTTCCCAGCCCCAAAGCCCCTCTTCTTCATGCCCAGCAGCACTTTACCAGGCTGGACCACCAGAACAAGAGTGAGCAGCTTGGAGGTCAACATCTCATCTCACTGACTGAGAAAAAGGAGGAGATAATAAGACAGTGGTGGGAAAACAGATGGAACAATACGGGAAAAAAGCTTCTGCAGCTGTTATAATAGTATCCTTTTTCTCTTATAATAAGTGTTTTAATTACATGCTGCAGAAGAATCCCAGCTGAAACACGTATATTTTATCCAAGAAGACAGCAAACCAGCGCTGAAACGAGGCGCCCGCGTGGAGTATGCGGGGCGGTGACGTCATCGATGGCAAGATTTGTAAACAGAAGGATCGGTCAGCCTACAGAGAGAGATACCGCAGGAGGATTATCGTTTGGTTGTGGGATCTGTTGAGTGTGTCACTTCGAAATATGTCCGACTAGAAAAAATAACCCAAAACCTGATTTTTGTTTCTCCCCTTATGAAATACGTGACGCTGCAGTATAAACGTTTTCTACAAAATAAAAATAAATATACATTTTTTTAATAATTATGATAATATGAACAATAATAATATTTATGGAAAAATAGAATTCAAATAAGTTTTGAGTTAAAGGTTTGTTTATACATCTTGTGAAAAGTTAATAGACATATGATAATTGTAAATGCTTCTGCTGGTATTGCTGATTTCATTGCATATTTTACTATCTTTGCATTTTATTGGTTTTTAAATCACTTTATTGAATGATCAGGTTAGGATATTAATTTTCTAATGTAGTTGTAAAAATACTTATTTGAAAATGACTGCTAAAGTTGAATAATAATAATACATTTTATTCAAAACGCCTTTCAAGAAACCAAAATACACTGTATATATAAAATGAGAAAAGACTAAAAGTTTTGCACATTATTATCTCCTTGAACCCCAGTTGGCCTCGGCAGATGGCCGCTCACACTCAGCCTGGTTCTGCTGGAGGTTTCTTCCTGTTCAAAGGGAATTTTTCCTCTCCACTGTCGCTACAAGCATGCTTAGTGAGAGGGATTGCATTTGAGTCAATGCAATCAACTGCTTTTCCATAGATAGAAAACTTTGAATCAATTTGACTGTATGATCTGGTTGAACTGTAAAGTGCCTTGAGATGACTTGTGTTGTGAATTGGCACTATAGAAATAAACTGAATTGAACTGAATCATTTAGTTAGGCCCACAACTCAAACCAAACTCTTGATAGTTATTGGTTACAGCAGTGGTAACCTTACAGTCATTAAATCACTATATAGAATGTATTGAACACAATAAATGAGGATCAGCAAAGATAACTACAATAATTACATATGGCTGTTGCTTAAAGTCCTATTTATTTATGTTTTTGGGGTGTATTCAAAGAGCTACAGTATTTCCCTTCACATTGTTCTGTTAGTCCATGAAAATAAATACGGTAAAGGTATCTAAACTAGCAGAGATTTGGACCAAACTGTTTGAGTTTACTTTTTGTAACATTTATTATTTATCTGGCTCATTATCTAGGTTATTATTATTATATATTTATAAAGGTACAGTAAGTTAATCATGTTTATTTACATAGTACCTTTCACAGACATAGAGGTCACAAAGCGCTTCCCAAAATTAAAATACAAATAAAATACATTTACAGTCACAAAAGACATGGTCAAAAAACAACCCTTAATCTACTGGAATTAAAATGCTATATTAAACAAATAGGTTTCAGTTCACTCTTAAAAACATAAACAGAATCAGTCCAAATGTATATCATATATAATAATATACATAAATAAAATCTTTGGAGATAAATCTGAAAAAAAAAAAAAAAAGAATAATAAATAAACGTGGATTTTGTGCTCTAGTTTAAATCCTTCTGATCATTGCTCCCTCAGAGGAACTTTTTTTCCCTGTTTCCAAATTAAGGGGGACCCAAATAAGCAGTACACACAGAGTTTTGCTTCACGCATGCGCAACGGATGACGGGGAAAACATGACCCTGAATTCAGCCTGATGTGGAGGTTTTCACTTCAGAAGAGATGTTTTCACTGCTCGCTCAGTGCGATGAAGAAGCTGAAGGGAAAAACTGCAGCCGAGCAGCGCTGGGTTTTAAGGCAGCTCAAAGACCCCTATGTTAAAGCTTCACACGCTCTAAACTTCCGGTGCAGGAGCGCCTTCAAACTCCTCCAGATAGATGACAAGTTCAGGCTTTTACAGCCTGGATCCAGCGTGGTGGACTGCGGAGCTGCGCCTGGAGCCTGGAGCCAGGTGGCGGTGCAAAGGGTCAATTCTGCTGGGACAGGTCAGCTTCCAGCCACTCTGAATTTCCAACATTACTGTTTTACATATCAAACGTTTTATCATATATAGATGCATGTTTTGTCATTAAAATACGTTTTAATCTCTAAACATCAATAATTCACCAAACCTTGAAGTGAGAATTGAAAGAATTTGGACATGCAACCCTTGTCAGGGTTAGATGATGACAGGTGCAGCTATAGGTTGGAGGTTTTCAGAGGATTTTAACTAAAACAAAGTTGACACATGTTGAAGTTTTATAGCACAATAAATGTTACTGAGTAACTAAGGTGATCATTTAAGGTGCACAGTTTTTCTGCCATTTAATTAAATAAACTCAAGCAGACAGTGAAAGTGTTTGTGGAAATTGGGCAATGATGAGCAAAATAAAAGGTGTCATTTTTAATCAAACATAATAGTTTTTACACAATTTTTTGGTTTTAATCGGGTTGAAAGTTGTGTTCAACCAATCTTTTGGCTAAACTGACCTAATTTGGCATCGTTTTTACTCAATCTATATTTTTACTTGACAAATTGTACAATTGTTTGATTTTGGTAGATGTGATGTAAATTAAGTTCTTAAACATATTCAATGGACCAAAATAAGAATAGATGAATGAGATAAGTAATTATAGTAATTACAGTACTTATATCAATCCTGGATAACTGAGTTGTTCAGCACATCCTCTCTGAATGTGGTTGGTCTTTTCTTGGGTGGCTGATTTTTTTTGAAAAATAAAATGCAATGGTTCTTTTTGTGGACCTCCTATGGGTTTGTGAGGAATACCTGAAATATTAAAGAATTTAGTTTATTGTTTGTTTAATTAGTCCTAAAATCCAACGGGAGATTATTAAACTAATCTCAGCAATAATGGGACTAAAACGGGGACTAAATCAGGTGGCTAAACAAGAGAAAACATGGAGTAAACCTCATTAAAATAAGCAGTAGGTATAGAGAAAACTTGCGTGCTAGACTGCTGAAAATCTTCATTAATTTACAAAGTTAATTATCTTAGTCCAGATAAAAAAAGATAAAATTAAAATGACATACCTCGTAATAACTGCTCAGAAATATATCTGGTGCCAGTCCCTTACCTCCTCTGCTCTCAGCACAGTGAAAAGGTGGGCTGGTGCAAAAATACGGACTGGATATGAACCTGGCATGTCATTATGTGATAGCACTAAGGTTGTGTTGAAAACGCTGATTGGGTTTTTATCACCATTGTATTTTCATATATAAATAAGTGAAATGGAGTTGAGTTTTAATGTCCGTCATTTTTTAGATTGAAAAATTGGGAATACGGAGTGAGAGCGTGTGAAGACACTGAGATGCGTCTCAAACCTAATGGGTGAGAGTTGATAGCCCTGGAATCATATATTATTACAATACTGCTTTATATTCAAGCTAGAAGCAGCAAGGGAAAAAAAATCAAATTTTACCCAAAAAAAAAAAAATGCAGCGCAAAAAAAGATGCTGCAGACGCCCAATCTCAGACACTCTGGTGGGAGAAACACAGGTAAGTGACCACAATCATCTGACAGAAGGTGATGATCTCAGTGAGTCACTTACCTGGTTTAACAGTTCAGTTAAACCAGGGCGTACACTGTGCAATTTTGTTCAATCGTTGCACGTAGCCACAGCTCACACTGTACGACTAACCGCAGGGTTTAGTCGTAAAGTGTGAGCTCATAGCTCACGATTTATGTTCCACCCGATGTACTGATGCAATCTACCTGCTCACTACTATAGTCTGTCAATTTACAGACAGAACTGCATTTAACTCATTGTGTTACAACTTAGAGGAAGAATAAAAAGAAAAATCCATGTTTGCGCCCTGAGCGATTTGCCCATGATGGTCGGGAGAAAATCAAACATTCCTGATCGGGAGGTGGTCGTGAGAGGCTGATCGCCCCTCGTTACCTCCTGTACACTACACAACTCACGACGCACAATCAGGCTGAAAGTCGGCCCGATCAAATGATTTTCACACGACTGGAAAATCGCCCCGAAAATCGCACAGTGTGCGCCGGGCTTAACCATGCTCAGACCGTTCTCGTCATGGTTTCAAAAGGGTAGTGTAATCTAGGGCTGGGCGATATAGAAAAAAAGCTCGATATTGATCCCCCCCCCCCCCACGCCGCCCCCATTCTTCTAAGTTCAGCTTAGTTTCCTGCTTTAACCTGAGTTATTACTTTGAAGCTGCTGGCCCCTCAGCATTTTTCTCTCAATTGTTAGAACTACGTGGCAAACTGCCCAGAACTGAATATATATATATATTTTCCCGAAATTCCCGAAGATTCCTCGGAGGAGAGCCGCGCCGGGGATTACACAGCTCGTACTCCTGCGGGTGTGAGCGGCTGAGATGATAAAAAAAAGTTGGTTGTGTTACCAGACTTCGTTTTCACTGGTTCCCTACACATTTTCCAGATGACTGTGGTTTGTTTTTTGTCCGACTTGCCATGACCGAAATACTGCCAGACTGCCGAACTACAAAAACCCTTCTTTGGAACAATTTCCTCCGACTCTCCTTGCTGCGACATCTTCATGTGCTCTGTGTTGTGGTTTGAGAGGGCGGCGCTTTGTGATGGCGGGTCCGCGATTGTGATTGGTTGGGAGGAAGTAGTGACTAGCATAAACCTACATGATAGGCTACAATGAGAAGGAAGGAAAACTGCGTTTTTTTATCGAACTTTTATCGACCCTCTTTTTTTCTATTGCGCCACACGTCTATCGATCGATATATATCGTTATTGAATTATCGTTCAGCCCTATAAACCGTGCTATTGTCTCTAGGGAGTTTTTTTTAGGCTGGTAATTTTTACATATAAAAGATGGAAAGGTTGTTTGGTTTTAGAAATTGATTTTCACTTAATTATTGACCCACCTGAATTACTCAAAATTAAAATCCACAGATTAGACTTCTAAGGAAGACCAGAAATTGCTCTTGGTCTTTAAAAATGTGATAAGCGGATTTTCCTAAAGATTTAATCTCAAACACAAATTATCATTTTGAGATTGATTTCCTAAAATTCTTTTTTTTATTTTTATTTTTATTTTGTTTACAATCACATTAAACATCCAAATTTAATGTCCAGATATTAGCTTTCACACTTTTAATGCCAGGACTTCTTTTCCAAATCAATCAGTATACTTTGTCATCATTGTCACATTGAGGTCATAACTGTCTAGTGACGCTGCTGTAAATAAAGATTGATACAAAGATTGTTCTAGATTATCCTCCATTAAACACTTTGACAAAAAAAATAAGTAAATACCGGCAGATGTGTCATTGTGATGGATAACACGGCCCAGAGATGTTAAACTTCTGAAAGATGAGTTTGGCAAACTAATTAGTATCTATGGTTTGGAAACAGATTAAAGTTAATTTGTCACACTTTAGTTGGCGGAAATATGCATAACTTGCAAAACACTAGTGTGGAATTTTTAAATGAAAGTCAAGTTAATTTTGGAATCAAAGAGATTTAAAAACAACTGAAGGGGCATGAAGGATTAGGAACAGAAGCATATCTTTTAAAAATGGTTTTGTTTATCAGGTTATTTTGCTGTCGCTCAGTTTGCCACAGGCTGGTGTTGGTGGTAACAGATAACACACACATAGATGGGAAATGAAGTGTCTCAGTGGCTGTTTCCTGTCGTTTTAGATCAAGACTTGCCGCGTGGAACAGTTATTGGCATCGATCTTCTCAACATACCACCTCTGGACGGAGCCCACTTCCTCTCCAGTCATGATGTCACTGACCCCGCTACGCACGCCAAGCTGAGGGAGCTTCTCCCCCAGGGGGAGGCTCATATCATCCTGAGCGACATGGCGCCCAACGCCAGTGGCTTCAGAGACATGGACCACGAGAGACTGATCACCATGTGTTTGTCTCTGATAGACTTGGCTGAGAAGATTCTGCTGCCTGGAGGCTCTCTGCTTTGCAAATACTGGGATGGGGTTTTTTCTCATCAGCTTCAGGAGAAACTCTCATCCGTGTTCAGCAGCGTTCGGACTATAAAACCACAAGCCAGCCGAATGGATTCAGCTGAGAAATATTTCCTCGCTAGAATGTACAGGAAGCCTTTTAAGTAATATTTGTATATATCTGATGACTGCTGCATGTTTTCTCTGCTGTGTCTTTGATCAGCAGGCTGTTTGAACATGAAGTGTTTTACTTGGTGGCTGTTATCAGAAGATGGCAGTGTTGAGACATCAGTGAGGCTTTCTGCTCCAGGCACAAACTCAAGCATATTAAAGACTGCGATGTGCGTTTGTGCCCTGCAAACCAAACACAGAAGCAGCACTTAATCAGTAAAATGAAAACCTATGCAAGACATCAGGGAGATTCCTCAAGAGCATTTTTCTTATTATTGCCCCCCGGTAGCCGTTTTTTTTTTCTTCTTTTTTTTATTATTTGCTTTGATGCAGAAAGTTGTTTAGCTCTGATGTTCATGGTTGTTTTAGGGACTTGGAGCCACGTGGAGTTGTTATGAACAGCAGATTAAGAGTGAAACAGTTTCCCCTGCTGCGTCATGTACAGAGGGACTCATTGAAAGTATGCAGACAGAAACATTGAACCTATTCGACTCTTATTCACCTTTGCTGTCTGAACGAGGAAAGCCTCTAAGGTCTTAGGTGAAATTTGTTAATAAGTTGATGAATTTTATTCTATCTCTCAATTTCACCTCAATCACAGCCAAAACGCATCAGGGATTGGCTTTCTTCTATTTTTCCTGTCTCCCTTATTTGAATAAAATTATTAACATACAGAATGTGTAATAAATTAACAATAAACATTGTTTCTGCAGCTAGAGCTGAACCTTTAGTCCAGTTTATAGTTGGGTATTAGTTTCTGCTGCTCAATGTGCCTCTTTTATTATTTTAATTTGTCATATGGGATTCATTCTTCACATTTTATGCATGTGAATATTTTTTAATTTTCTTGACATTTAATGAAATAGACTTAAAAAAACATTTTTATGGATGCATTTCAGTAAATAAGAACATGATTGAAATATTTAATTATTTCAGTAATTGAATTAATAATGTTGAAACCCTTCTAGATTGATCACTCCCTGTATGATGACTTTGTTTTTCTTTATATTGATTTAATGATAGATTTACAGCTAGGAGAAATCCAAAATTCTGTTTCTCATGAACTCTTAAGATCATTAGAAATATTCTTAGGAACTATGGAAAAAGCATTTTTCTTCATAAACAACCTTCAGAATCATGGGACACATCGCTGAGTTCAAAACAATCTTGCAGTCGCCCACACTCTCCACCTAAAGGTAAGTTACTGGATGTTTACAATCATTAATGGGGATTTCAGCAGAAGACGAATGTATCACTGAAAAAGGTGCACAGGAAACGGATACCCACAGCCCTAGGTGGATTATGAAGCAAAACTCTTTCAATACTGTGAGTGAATTTCACAAAGAATGAAATGCAACTGGAATCATAGCTTTAAGAGCAGTTATATCTAGAATGTTTGCAATAACTTGCATTTTGTCACACGATACTGCTGAGCATCAGAATCTTACCTAAATGATGAAAAGGAACCAGACTGTTGCTCATTGGTCCAAGGTCCTCTTTCCACTCAAGCTCATTTGCATTGCAAGTAGAGATCAAATTTCCAGAGTCTGTTAAAAGAATTTTAAGCACAGAATTCCTTGAAGTTCTGTATTAAGTTTGCACAACTAGTGATGGTTTAGAGAGCTGTGTCATCTGCTGCTGTATTTCTCCTGTGTTATAATACCGGTACGTTAAACGTCTGTAGAGCCATCTTCTGGAAAATTTAAAGCACTTCTGCTGACAAGCTTCATTGAAATGCTGATGTCACTTTGCAGCAGGACTTGGCATCTGCTGACACTGCCAAAGGTACCAACACCTGCTTTAATGACCACGGTATCGCTGTGCTCCATTGGCCAGAAATCTTTCCTGACCTAATCCCCAAGGAGAATCTATGGAGTACCATCAGAAGGAAAATGAAAGATGTGAAATCCAACATTGCAGATGAGCTGACGGTCGCTACTAAAGCGACCTGGAGTTCTTATATACTTTGGCAGAGCTGCAGGTAAATCTTCTCAATTCCATGCAGCATTTATGCAATCACTCATGCTGTGTGACCATTTTGATGTGCTCTGGGTTTAACATAAAATGAGCATGATTAATCTATTATTATCTGCACAAAATTCTACTAACATTGCACATTGCTTAAATAAATATACATAAAAGCACTGTTCCATTGATGTATTTGCATCATGTTACCTTACAGCTAATATTTGTTACAGGTTCACTTCAATCTCAAGAGGGATCAGAGGTATAATCTATCTTTTTACGAAGACTCTCACAATGAAAAATCTATTTATTAGGTTCTAAAACATCATTTATAAAAAAACAGACATCTAAATGGCTTTGTTGAGCATTCACCCAGTTTGTTAGATTTGCTCAATGAATTCATGCCTCTTAGATTAATTGACAAATTTTCATTCCTTAGGAAACTCAACTGCCCCAAATTACTCATAACTGATCATTTTTAGTGAAATCAGATTAAGGCTTAATAGATTTTTACCTCTGATCATTCTTCAAAATGAAAAAGAAAAGCCTAATCAAGATCAAATTTGCATTTATCAAGCAAAAGAAGACCTGAATACATTTATAAGTCTGCTATTTGGCCTTTGTGTCTCAGGAGTGATGAGCAATACAGTACAGACTGAAACATTCATGCCTCTCGGCAAAATTAACTGCACAGAAGGGGGACTGACCTCTAAAGATGATTGTTTGGAATGAAAGGGAGCAGTCATGCCTGTTGATGAAGCTGATAGTGAAAGATGTGAACAGATGACCAATTTTATTTCTCATTACTTGTTGATTATTCTGCCCTGCGTTATTCAGATTCAAATTATTGCAGAATTGCTGTGGGATCTGTAAATTCCATCGGTGCTGAGCGACTCGCTCTCACGACGAATGATTATTCGCTCACAGGTTAATTCATTCTTTTCTGGCCAGATGGAGGTACAGATGTAAAAATTACCAAATGAAGAGAGGAAAACGGGCTGAGAGAAACAAATGTTAGATTTAGACGTTAAACTGAAAGGTTTGGGTCGTTTTTATGTTGCAAAAGAACAATCTATTCATTAAAATCTATCTCATGCAGGTGGATTTTTTTTTTTTATATAAAAGGAGTTTCAAAAGCATTAAACTTTATTAGAAATATCTGTTAGGAGAGTTATAAAATCAAAGGACACAATTTCTTTATGTGAAACTGAAGAACAGTTTTCTCCTTTTTATACCCATAATTTAAAATGTTTTGAAAAGGCTGGATTCTTAAAAGAGACACTCACCTCTCCTTGATCATTGTGATGCTGAAGCTGAACACGAGTCAGAGTGCCACTGAATGGTTTAAGAGCTGAACAGATTCCTTTCACCATCTACAAGCTTTTATTAAAGTCTGCCTGCCGGACAGGAGCTTGGGAGAGTTCATTGTGCTACGATGGAAACAGCATACAATAAAACACTGAGTGCATTTTGCCAAAGAAAGAATCTTTCCTTTTTTTAATCTTTGCACGACCTCAAACAACACAGCACACTACATTATCTCAACCAATTGACAGGAAATTAAAGGAATGGTAATATCATGTTCTGCTATTGTATCATCCAATTCACTTTTGCTGACCTGAGTTGCCAGAATGAATTTCTCGTCTGGCAAACATTTATCATTCCTCTGAGCCCCTGAATGTCCAAAGACGGAGCCAAACAAACATTTGCAGACACAAAGTAAGGACTGCCATCATGAATTTGGTAGTGGACAAAAAATAGGACTCCTTTTATGAGAAAAATGTTTCCTGGTTAGTTAAAAAGGCTCCTGTTTGTTTCAGCCACAGTAATTCAGCCAATCCCTGATGATATGATGCTGCCAATTACATTCATGGCCAGATTGGAACTGCTGGGACAAAAAAAAACAACATTTAAATATTTTCACATCAAACTAAAAAACAATGAGTCATTGTAACAAATGAATAAAATTATGTTCAACTTGCTGAATGTACAAAATATTAAGAATTAATCAAATATTAAATTTGTATTAATTACATTAAGATTTTTTTTTTGGTAACTGTCTTTTAACAATTTTCTACATTTCACTTTTTAAATGTTCTTCTGATTTTGATCATTTATACTTCAGTTGAAACTTCAGTTGTACATACTGCTGTCAATGTTTGATGTTGGATGCTTGCAAGCAGCATGGCAAATTGACAGATTCAATGATAATAATAATAAACCAAGACAGGAATCAAACAAAGAAGCCAGTGAAGAATTGAACCATGTGAGGGCATAAATGTTGAGAGAAGACATGAGAAGAATGAGAAGACATGAGCTTTGGCTGAGGGGGAATGATTAAAAAAGTCAAACACAGAAAAACACTATTAGGACAGTAGCATAACAAGTCCAGATGACAGAAAATACATTAATGTGAAAACAACGGCATGACTAAAGGGCAGCACTAAAAGATACACAAGAAATACGATTAAAAGAGACAGAAATAGCAGGAATTACAGAGCATTATAAACAATAAGAACAATGCTGGAAAAGCACAGACAAATAATAAAAAAACATAATCAGAACCTAACACATCATGGCACACATGCTTATATGTTTGAATAATTTTGGCATTTTAATTATGGATTTTAACAGGTTACAGAATTTATTTAGGGCAGATGTCTTGAACAGGGGTTCTGTGGCCACTAGGGGGTCCACAGAGGTACTGCATGGGGGTCACGGACGTTTTGGTTTATTAGACTTTCTTTTATATTTCCCACTTCAATTATTCCCACTAATTGAAATGTTTTTGAATACATTTTATCATGAATTCAACACACTGCAGTAAACAGATAAATGGAGCCAGAAGATGTCGTTCAGTCATCAATGCACACATTCAGCAACACACAGGAGCTCTTTCAAGCTGGGCACCGTTTCATTCACAACATCTGTCGCATCAACGAGGAATAAGAATCAGAAATACTTTAATAATCCCATGGGGAAATTACTTTCATTACATTACTCCATCTGTAATAGAGTGACCATAGGACCAGTTTGATATAACGCAATTAGGGGGGTTGCCATCAGTTTGGGGGTCCTTGGCCTGGAAAATGTTGAAGATCTCTGATTTAGGGGATTCCAAAAAAGTAAAAAAAAAAAACAATTCACTGGACCGGTTTCCAAGATTGGAGACGTTTCGCTTCCCATCCAGGAAGCTTTTTTAGTTCAAAATGTCAGGAATAGTGTTGAGTTCGAGGCTATATACCGTAGCCCAACAAGGCCTTGTTTTTGTTTAGAAAACATGCAAATTGAAACGAACGAACAGGTCTTCCCCATTGGAATGGGGGTCATTTGGCTTCTTTTGTTAGCCTGCAATGCCCCATACCTTTCTATGTCTCTGGGTGTCATTAAACGGAATTATTGGCCTGGCTGAATAGGGGTCTTCTGTCCGCCTGTAAAGGGGTTGGGGTTGCGATGATAACGGGAAGGGATCAACTGAATTGCTGCATTTTAGTTTTTTTTTTTTTTTTTTGAATGAGTATGACCTGGAATACTAAGCATCTTCACCAGCATATTTAGGGGATTATTGTTGCTGCATTGGCTGATCTACCATTGAATGAATAACAGCCTTTATATTTCTCTAATAATCAATCAATAC